AGATCTTAATATGACAAATCTAATAAACTTTATTTCATTTTTTTATAATCATTAGATATTAAAATATTATAATTTTTTTATAATATTTTATAGCCAATTTATACATACACTTTAAGGGATAGCATGCCGTAATAGTGTAATATTAATCCGTTAGTCCTGATAACCTATTACACATTCAGATTAATGTTAAGTATCCGATATCTGATATCCATTATCATATTCAACCAGTTAAATCTGTTAATAATTTTTTAAACCCAGATAATAATCCGTCTAATAAATTTTAAACCAGATACCCGATAATAACGGATATCCATTTTTTATCCATTATTAACGGTTTATGAGTTTGAACACTAACTGAATGTAAACCCGTAAATTTGTTTTTTTTACATAATCTTTACTTTTTTTCTTTTTTTCAACTTTACATCGTGTTTTTTATTTTTAAAAATTTTTTTTTTTTTGAGAACTTGGATCAAAAAAAATTTAAATAAATATTGTTAAATTACTGATAATGAAAGTAAGACTCAATGTTATTTAATATTTACTTTTTTAGTTTTTAAATATATAGTACTAGATGTAGCTATTACAACTGAGATTTCATATTCATAAATTATTTGAAAAATATATATATATATAAAATAACGATAACGATTAAAAAAAATTTTATTTTGATTAAGCAAACTCTGAGTGATGAATTTTTTTACATAATTTGCTATATTTCGTCATAATAAGCTTCCCCTTGACTCTTATAAATAAAAGTAGAAATCTTTTTCATCTTTCTAATAAAAAAATTCTCTTTTTTAAATGTCTTAAACAAATAGCACAAATGGATTCACAAACAGCACCAAGTAAGTGAAGAATATTTTATATATTCACATCTATGTCCATATTCACGTCAATACTAATGTTAACGTCAACGTATTTGTGAAAACCTTGAAAATCTATGAAGGTCTACTGATTCTGAAGAAGGAATCAGTTATGTATCTCCCTTTATAGCAGTTGTAGAAATGACATTCATGGTTTACAGATTATGTTTCATATTCACATTCATGCGTTTATACTCACATGTCACATTCACACTCACATTCACGTATTCACACTCAAGTTTCACATTCACATTCACATTCACGTCATATTTTTACATTTATACTTTCATTTTTTAGAACCAAAAAAACAAAAGACTTTTTACTGTTCAGTCCAACAATCAGAATACATTTGAACGGTATCAATAGTAACAAAATTAAAAATCTTTTATCAGATATTTTCTAAATGGAAAATTGTCATATACTAAAGTGCAAGAACGAAACTTACAGATATATACATTTCAAGATCGAGAATGATGCTGGATTATTTTTTTAACGTGTTCAAGGACAAACCTTTGAATTTGAATATAATGATGATTCTGGCAAAATTAAAACAATTTCAATTGAATTTTTTCTGTCAAAAGAATATAGAAGGAATAACCATACTATTTATAAGATTCAGGTAACATGATTAAATTTTCATTGGTGTGATTTACATTTTCATTTACTGTATGTACATACTATATTTTTTATCTTGTTCTAGAATAATGAACCACAAACTGACATCTCAATTGGAACACTACCAGTACCACAACCGCCAACACTGGAAATATCGAAAGTATTACTAATACTAGAAACATCAAAAGTACCACCAATACCGGAAACAATGATAACAGCACCACTAGAACGGGCATTAAGAACAGCAACTCTGATGACATTCCAACAGACATTTCATTAACCGGCATCTTAACCGGTATCTCAACTAATGATGATTTAAGGTTTAAAGGCGTTGATTATCTTTTAAGAGATTTTTTTAACATTGGAAAAGACAAAATATTGAAATTTAAAAACATTTCTGGTTATTATTTTTTCCAACTCAACAAGGAAAGGCTTACAACAAAGCTGTTTAAACTGGATACGTTTTAGCAAAAAATATCGCTGAATTAATCGAAGGATTAAATCACATTCTTTTGGCTGAGAAAAAGCTTAGTATAATTAATATACCTTTTGAATCAGTCGTAAAATTTGCCAATGAAGTGAAGCAAGAGAAAGTATGTAATTAAGAGAACATTGAAAAAATTGACACATAAACATGATTTGCTTTTTTTTGATACACTGCAAACTTTATTTAATATTTCAGTAAAAAAAGTAACGTGAGTGAAAAATATTGAGATATCTAATTTTATTACACATTAGTTATAATTAGTTTGATTGATTTATAATAAAAAATAGCGTACTGTACTATACATATTTTAGCTTTTAAATCAATTTTTATTTTTATTTTTTATCTTTTCTTTTTACACAAATATACTATACATCGATGTTCTTATTACCTTTCTTTTTTATGGCTGTAACTAAAATGAAATTAGAAAATTTGTAACATTATATCCAAAGTTTTTATTTTATTGAAATTTATATTTTTTTTACACAGTTTTTCCTTTTTTCATTTATGTAATAATTTCTATATTCTCACGCTAGGTAATATAAAGCGAGAAAATCTAAATTTACGCTTTATTAACATAAATAATATAAATACACAAAATTGCTATAAATTATCTCCTAGACGATCAGATGATATATGTACACAAGGCTTTAATATAATTGCATTAAAAAAAGGAGTCATCTAAATCAATACTTTCTAAGAAAAACCTACCTATAAATAAATTTAGTGTTTATCTCTTCTAATATCTTTATTACCTCCCACTACTCTCCTTACCCATCGTCTTAATTGTAACATTCCATCTCCGGGAACTATTCTTCCAATAGTTGATCTTTTATCTTGTTCGGGAGATGGGGGCGATAAAGAACTACTAAATGAAGTATTTGATGAATCCCTATGATGTTTTATAAAAGATACTGTCCCATCATTCGCTACTACAGCATACGACATTAAAGGTATATAAGGTGGCGATTGTCGAATCTTATGATCATTTTGTGTCTCCCATTGTATAGGATCCGCTGCAACAATTTCTTCTATGGAAGGAGACGTCAACCTAAAAAATTTTAAAAATATGAATTTACATAGCTAATCTTTTAACGGAATCGATTTATAATAACTCACGATTTGAATCCTCCTAGAACTGGTGATATTCTCGACGATAAGTAAAAATCGCCTGGACCTGTTAACTTTAAGTACTCCTGAAATTTTATAAAATTCAATTAGGTATGAAAATATTGTTAAAGTATAATTCGATAAAATTTAGTACGAACAGGTCCACCGAACGCCCATCTCCTCGTTCGAACCGAAGCTCTCTTTAATCTATCAAGTGTTGGCTTTACTGAAGGACTACTAAAAATTGTGTCAAATAATTCATTAGTTTTCTCTGATAGTTTGGCAGTGACATTCCTAATCAGTCTATTTTTATCAACCGAAGATGAAGTAATCAAAGGTGGTGATACTATTGGTTTGGTTTGTGAATTCCATGCTAAAAGATGTCTAATGTGAAATTTAAAAAAAAAAATTAGCATAAAAAAGATTCGTAATAGAATTAATTTAACATTAAAAGTAAAATGAGATTACTTTGCATTCACAAAATATGCGTCTCCTGGGTTCAAAATCAATCGATGTATAGATCCATAATTTGAGATAACCAATGTACCTCTACCGGTGACACGGTTTGCAAAAGCATTCAATGAACCCTATAAAAATAATTAAAAGGTTTAAGAATTCTCAATCGTATAAAACTGTAAGAAGAGGATCATGAGAATTACCATTCCATAAATCCGACCAATGTTTACTGTGACTCTAGGACCGCGTGCAAGGAAGGCACCCTTTCTAACATAATACACAGACCTGCCATCCATATTTATGACAGCTATATCTGATAAGTCACGAGGTGCTAGAAGAACATCACCAGGATTCGAACCTGTCATGAACTGATAATGTCATAAGGTTCAAAAGACTGGTGTCATTTCAGTGAGTTGATGGATTGACAAGGTATCAGCATACGAATAATTTTATCTTATTATGTTCACCTTGTTATAGATCAAAGATCCACCGGTAAGCTTCCTACCTAAAGCAATAACAATATTTCCATCCATAGTTCGTTCCGCTATAACCTAAATCAATTGCAAGGATTTACTTCAATTTTTTTTTTAAAAAATCATAAATCGATTGATTAGAAAAATTCTCATTAACCAATTCACACTTTACTTGATACAGCAATGGCTGTTCCAGGTGCTGCAAGTATCTCTGACCTTGGCGGAATTTTGACCAAGAGTAAAGCGCTCAAAGTCCCAGCGGAGACGACCTCAAACTTTGGATCTGGTATCGGATGATGTTCCGTCCATTGTAAAGCTGAATTGATTCCTTTACAATGCGATAGTTGGAAGAAAATTATAGAAATTTTTTAAAAAATATATAATAATAGAGAAAAATGATCAATTTAAATAACACTCACCAGAAGTTATAGTGGAAATGGTGCTAGAAGTTTTTTCTTTATCTATTTCACTTTGTTCTGGCGTTGTACTACTATTTTGAGCGTTAACTTTTGCGTTAACAACTAACGTTGCATAAGAACGTGCAAAAAATCGAATATGTGAAATGCTTCGCGGGATAGCTACTAAAAGTGTAGACATTTTTTTTGCTTTTATTAGATGATCGAATTTGAGAAAATTTATCAAAATATGATGTGTTACAGTGTAACTTAGCGACAGTGTCGATCAAGAAAAATTAAGATATCACATTCTCATTTATGTGATAAATAGAGTTATATGTTTGATAACTACTCTCTCAAATACCGCGGCTTTCTTTCTTTCTCTCCTATCTTAAAAACTAATAAAACCAAATCTCTCAAGAAAATCTGAAATGAGTACACCAATGGACATTGATCAACCTTCTGGCTCTAAATCAAGCGGGAAAGCGAAAGATACTGGAAGGAAACGTTTTGAAGTAAAGAAGGTACCTTTTTGACTTTTCATTATCCGGAGTTATTTAATCCGCAAGATTTATTAAAAAAAAGAAACTTTTCTAGTCCCTTTGCCTTATAAACTGATGTAGCTAAAATAATTTTAAATATTTCTTAATTTTTGATTCGATTCAGTGGAATGCCGTTGCATTGTGGGCATGGGGTAATTATTATTATGTAATATATAATATACTTCGCGTGAATATAAGAATAAATAAATAAATAAATAAATTTCTACCAAAGATATCGTCGTTGATAACTGCGCTATTTGCCGAAATCATATCATGGATTTGTGTAAGATTATTTTATTATTTTTTTTGTCTTTTGAGGTTTTGCTACCACACTTATTAAACCCTTGAATTTAATTAATAGGTATAGAATGTCAAGCAAATCAAGCCTCCGCAACCAGTGAAGAATGCACGGTGTAAGTAAATTGTGTAGATTAATTATTATTATGATTTAGTGCTCATTGCTACAATTAATGAATTCTTAGAGCTTGGGGGATTTGTAATCATGCGTTTCATTTCCACTGTATTTCTCGTTGGTTAAAGACTCGACAAGTGTGTCCTCTAGATAATAGAGAGTGGGAATTCCAGAAGTATGTTATTAAAATTTCTAATCTCAAAAAAAAAAAATTTTTTTTTTTTTTTTTATTAACCTCCTTTTCTTGTATAGATATGGTCGATAAACTGTGAATTTTCTCTGGATTCAAACCTTTTTCATGACAACTTTAGAATCATCGTTACAAATAAAAACATCTTTGAAATTCAAGTACTTAAAATCAAACCAACTTTTATTATAAAAAAAATATGATTTCATTCCTGTATTTTATTATAATAAAAATTTTCTTGTCCGACAAAGATACATTTCATGATTTAATTGTTACAATAAATTTAGTCATCAAAGAATACAATTAATAATTCGATTTGCAACATTTCTTAAAGCTATAATGTTTAAGTTAATATAATTTATTAAATTGAATCTGTTAAACTTATTTAAAAGTATTTGATGTATCGAATTTATACTCGGTAAACCATTTACTTAGGCCAAACTTTTTATTTATCAATTGACTTTCGTTTTAGAAAACATATCTGAATTTATCACTTTTCATTAAAAACTTGATTATACCTGTTAGGAGGGGGAAATGATGTTAATATGAAAATTTATGAATGAGAAAAATGAAAAAAAAAAAAATTCATTATATATTCGCTCAGAGGTGTCCTAAAAATTTCCTCATATTTAAGTGTGAATTCAGAAAGTGAAGAAATTACTTTTTATGCATCATAGCGAAATATCATTTTATAAAAAAAACCATTTATTTACCTGGTTAAAGATTTTTTCGAATAGGAAAAAAAAAAAAAAAAAAAAAAAGCGTTTTGGAATAAATACCAATGATTGTTATGTCACGTGAAATAAGATGGGGTAATCTACGAACTTCACATCTAATACATCTACAATACATACAGCACTTCATTTTTCTCAAATTTCTCAATCCTTTCTTCCCATAAAGAATCATAATAATGGCGTTTTTTTCACGTGTAATACGCGCAATGGAAAAAATATCACCAACTTCGTTAGCAGAACATTCATGGGATAACGTAGGAAAATTAATCGAACCACCATATCCAAGACCATCATCACGAGTATTTCTTACAATAGATTTAACCCCCTCGGTATTAGAAGAAGCTCTCTCCGATCAAAACGTTGGAGTTATTATAGCTTATCATCCACCAATTTTTCGCTCTTTTAAAAGATTAACTTTAGACGATTCCAAACAAGCTATTATTTTAAAAAGCATCGCGCAGGGTGTTGGCATATTTAGCTCTCATACTGCTAGTGATTCTTGCGTTGGAGGAGGTAACTATACGGGACCCTTGCAATGAGAAAGGTGGAAACTTCCAGGAAATGATCAAGCTTACTTTTATATGTCAATTATGTTTTTCATTTAGCATTACCGTAACTCATATTATTTTTTCCGGCGGTTTCCATCCTTTCTATTTATTGCAAAGTCATTTCTTATTAATAAAAAGTGTTTAAAAGACATAAAATCTTATTTATAGTTAATGATTGGCTGGCAAAAGGACTCGGATCGGGAACTGTAAAGCCTATAACTCCGGCATCAAATCCACCTCAAGGTTTTGCTATTTATTAGTGATAACAATATACAATTCAGATCATCAAAATAAAAATCGTAAATGTTCTATTGAATGGTTCAATAGATCACGAAGAAGCTGGATTAGGCAGGATATTTACTTTAGATCAACCAGTTCCGCTTTCAACTATAATTGAAAGAGTAAAACAGCATTTGAAACTTCAACATGGTGAGCGTTATTTTTATTTGAATTGTTCAATAAACTTTAAAGTTGAACTTTTTTAAATTGTATAGTTCGAGTTGCGACAACGAATAAACATTCATCAGGAGGATTAATCTCAACAATTGGGATATGTGCTGGTTCAGGTACGTTATTATCCCCCCAAAGAAAAGATAAACAAACAAATCATTAACAAAAGAAAAAAAAAAAAACTTTTCATATATATAGGTTCTTCGGTACTTTCACCTGCAAAAACTGATTTATATTTTACGGGAGAAATGTCTCATCATGATGTTCTTGCTGCATTGGATAAAGATACCAGCGTAATTTTATGTAAGTTCCCTAAAACTTACATATTATTTACAAGTTACAAAAAAGCTAACGGAACATTAATTTATTTAGGCGAACATTCAAATACGGAAAGAGGATACCTTTCCGAAATACTGAAACCAAAATTAGAACAATTATTTAAAGATGATGATGAAAAGGAAGCAATCGATGTGGTGGTAAGTAAAGTCGATAAAGATCCATTAGAAATTATATAGATAATTTAATATTTTAAGTAATAAATATAAAATACAATCACGATTTATTGACATGATAGTATTAAAAGTTTATCATACATCATATTGTAAAGTGAAAAATAATAAAAAAGAAATCACAAAAGAGACCAAAAATATATCCAAAAAAATATATATATATATATATATATGCATACAAAAAAAAATTGCAATATTGCATAATTTTTTTCCAAATCAGTCAATATATAATGTGTATTGAATCAGTTACCTGTACAAGTGATAAATATCCAGTAATACAATAATATTATTCTGCAAAAAAAAAAAGAACTTTTTTTTTTTTACATCCTTCTAGTTGACATATCTGTTCTAATAGCTTATAATAACATTATTTTTTTTTTTGCATGTGTATACATTTTTATAAAAAAGTTTTTTTTTCCCTTGTACTCTACCAAAAGAAAAGAAAAGAAAAAGCAAAGGTAGAAAATATTTTTTTAAAAGCTTTTTTTTTTTTTTTTTTTTTCAGTTATTACTATTTATTGGAGTTGATGTACCATTAGTGTTTGTGGTTGTTGTATTGTTAGAATTGCTGCTGGTTGAATTGTTGGAGGGATTGATTGTGATAATGTTGGTAGAAATAGTGTTGGTAGTGGGACTATTATGATTATTACTATTGACTGAGTTATTTTCTCGATGAATCGAACTTAATTTTCCATTTGCCGTGTTTGAAGTGACCGATGTGATTAACGAGGTAGAAGATGACGACAATGGGACAGCATTTGATGAGGGTGGTGACGAATTGCTATTATTATTATTATTATTACTATTACTATTAATGTTATTGTTGTTAATGTTACTGTTGTTACTGCTATGGCCATTATCTGATGTTGTAGTGTTAACATTAACGATTGAAACGTTATTGTTTAAAATTGGCGGCGTTCCAATCATTACATTTGGAACATTCGTTGTTGTACCTAATCCATATAGGTAACCACTTGTACAATCAAAAGGGTGTAAATATTTTGTTAACAAAGTAAAGATTATTTGGGCAAAAGAAATCACACAAAAATCTTTTAAAACGTACAGATATTTCGTGTCATCAATCTTGTCATTAAAAAACGTTTGACGCATTTTGAAAAAGGTCGTCGCTGTCAAAAGACTATCACTACCTGCCTGATGTTGGGGACCAATTCGGGTAACCTAAAGTTTTTTTTTTTTTGTTTTATAAAGATTTTAAATTTGAAAAAAATTATTTCAAAAAAAAAAAAATTCTCTAATCCATACCTGTAAATCATCTGCAATATCCTGCAAACCACCTTTTAAATTTTTAAAACTTCTCACAAGAAACTTTATATCATATATACAGGGGAAATATGTTCTCAACAGGTCAAAAAACTCTGATTCCTCGGCGGGTAAAGGAGAACATGTGAGCACTTTAAGCAGATAGCCAAAATCATAACCACTACAACAAATGAAATAAAATTAGCAAACAGTAATTTCATGTAAAGTGATAGAATAAACGCACCTATGATAAGATATCCATTTAACATCGTCCAGCAATACAAATCCAGAACTTATCAACAATTCACCAAAGTGTTCTACATCTATACCATAATCTTCATGTTTCTTGAAATCGATACCAGATTTTGTCAATAAGTCAATGGAATCTTGTGCATACATATCACCTCTTCATAAGCAGGAGATCGAAAAAGAAAATGTGTTTAAAATAATATATTCATCATGTTCCCCCATGAACCGCATTTTTCTTTTTTTTTTTGCAATAAACACTGACCCCAAATTGAATTTAAAATTAAACTGCCATGTACAGGTATCTGGTGGTAAAGTTCCGTTCTCATCTGCAAATGTGATTCCTAACTGGATGATTTTAAGCAAATCGACATTACAACGAAGGGTTTGATAATGATAATCGGAACTAGTTCGAAAACTCCCAATGGGTCTAGCAACCACACCAGGAAATTCCGTGTCCTAAAATACAATTAAGAAAATTCATTCATCAGTTTCGAATTTTTTTTTTTAAAAAAAAAAATAAATAAATAAATCTGATAAAATTTATATAAAAATCCAAGGATATAAATTTAGCTACATGCTATTATTTATTATATTAATAAGTACTTTTTAAGAAAACCTACGTACCATTGCAAGGAAAGGATACTGTTCTACTAGATCTCGAAGAACAGCCATTTCCTCTTCAAGATTCTCGGCCCACACTTCTTTTATATACTTGCTCTCATTGTTGGTTGGCATGTTTCACTATTAATGGTATTATTGACTGTGTGGAGAATCGCGAGAAAGGCCAGGAAAGGCCCAACAAACAAATCTAAATAAAGGTAATATCGACCAAGAGTTCTAGAGACTTTATATACAAAGCAACTGTATCTAAATACGATCTATGATCTAGTAGCAATAAAAATAAGTGGGTTTGAAACGCGATAATAAAAAAAAATTTTTTTTTTTTTGTTTAGATATTTCAACGATCCCAAACGCTTTTCCTTGTTTGGAGCATTGCATTAAACGTTCTATAAACTTCTAGTCGTAAATCAGCCACGTGTTAAATAATGACATTACTAAGAAAACGTTTTTTAATAAAATCCAAATGCTAAATTAGTAAAATTTTTTCCAAAGATTTATTTTTGTTATAAAAAATTTTTTTAAATATTTACCAATTAAGAAATTTTATAAGAAAAAAGAAAAAAAAAAAAATTTTTGAATATTTTCTTATTATATAAAAAAATTACTGATACAAAGATATATAAAGTACTAGTATATTATATATTAAATTTAATATAATAATAAGTAAATTAATTAGATATATAGTTATAAAAAAAAAAAGTAGATTATTTATTATATTGCATTTTTTTTATTTTAAAAAAATATTATAAATTAATTTTAAAATACTAAATTAAATATATTATTATTTTAGGAATGTTAAACAATCTTTATAATTTAAAAGAATACTAACTTTAAAAAAGTTTAATTACTTATATATAATAAGTAACTTCATCAAAAGATATAATATTTTATAATTATTTTATAAAAAATGAAAAGAATATTCAAAATTGACAATTTTAATAAGATCATTAAGTATAAAACCATTTTAAAAATCCAGTTTTAAATCTTAAAATTTTAAATTTTAAAAAATTCTAAGATTCTAAAAGAATTTATTATAATAGATAAGTTTAATATTAAATTTGTAAAAATAATTTTTTATAATTTTTTAACTAAACTTTTAAAACTGCTTAAAACAGCTTATATTTTACAATTAAAGTAAAGTTATTTATTTATATTTATTTTAACCCTAGTGAAAATGTTTAAATCTTTAAAGTTTTAATATAAGTTTATTATTTTTATAAGTTTTGACTTTTTTGAATTTTATAAATTTTTAATATAGTTAACCTTCTATAAATAAGTATAGCAGACTTGCTTATATCATCTTGTTGATCATTTTCAATTATATATAAATGAATTATAACATCATATAAAATCAGTTAACCTTAAATTAAAAGCTTTGGATAATACAGCATATGGGACCTTTGCAATAGAAAGTGAGAAAACTCCAAAAAAATTAAAATTTTAGTTTATAAGCCAAAAATGTTTCAAATACTATAATTTGTTCAGATTTATTATTAACTCATTTTTTATTTTTTTTTGAGTTTCCTCCCTTTCTATTGCAAAGGCTCCATATGATCAAACGAATTCTACAAATCAATAAATTCAATATTTTAAATGTAAAATGTGATTCTATTAAAAAATTAATACTTTTTTTTTATATTTGCAGGCAAATTTGCCTGCTCTACAGTTTAAGGGATAATAATTAAACTTTTATTATAGATTATACTATAATAGCTATAAGTTTAGATCTCAATTAAGATATAAAATTATAAATAAGTAAATGCAATAAATTAACTAATAATTAATAAATTTGACTTTCATTAATAAGTTTATAACAGAATATATATATATATAAATTTTCTAAATTTCATTATAATTAGCAATGAATAAGTTACATGATATGAATAATAATTCTATTTATCTATGATTAGGGTTACTGATATCATTATTTCAGTAGAAGTGTATTTTACAATAATATAAATTAGATTGAGATTAAGATTGAAATAATGCTTTTCACTGAAATAATCTTTGATCATAGTGGGTCTCATATTCATCTCAAATTCTCTATCAAAATTGATTCTGACGAGTTTAACATCCTTAGTATTAGAAGTAGTATACCTTAAAGCATTAAATGCATCTTTAAATACTTCGACAATTATTGTAGATAAATCAATTTTAAACATAAAAATACCACTGTCCTTAATGTGAAAATTTATATTAGTTCTAGTGTTAGTCATTTTTTTATTTTCTAAATGTAAAAGCCCATTATAAGAAAAACTTATTCATATATACATAGTTCTGATATATATATATGTACATTATTTTTTGTGTTATTTTTGGAAAAAGTTTTTTGTGAAAAAGTTGGCAGACTTTCGCATATTTCTATATGCTTTATATCTTACTAAAAAAAAGTTGAGATATGAAGCGTAATTAGTTTTGTTATATGATGCCTAGAATTCTATAAAAGTATATGCAAATAGAATCTTCAAACCTTTTCATATGATCTACTGAAAAGACACATAAAATCAACCTTTTTTAAATACACTTCCTCAGGACTACAGTGAAAATTTTAAAAAATGTGCATTTAAAGAGGGTGTGCATTTAAAAAGAAAATTTCTATATATATTTTATATGCTTAAAACTGAACAAGAGCATGCATTTAGAGAGAAAATATATAATGTATGTATTTAGAAAGAGTTGAATGTAGTTAGTTTTACGCCTGACAATTTTAAAATTGTGAAATTCTCGACTCTTTATAGCATATAATTTTGTCATTACTATTAACTTATAAGAAAGTTCTATGTTAAAATAAAGCATTCTTTCACATTATTTGAGAAAAAAATAGGTTTGAAATATTATATATTTTCTTTTTGCTTATATATTCATCTATAGCGCAAACCTATTTGATAATTCATTTATTTTCTGATCAATAATGATTACATAATATATCACAAGATATTAATGAATTTTATCACTTTATTAATAATTCAAATCATTGTTACTATATTACTGTGTGCCTCAAGTTGTGATCTACCCTAACTTTAAATTAGGACAGATCCATTTTGCCTAGAACTGAAATTTCAATTTTGAGCAGTCTTAATTTAAATTTCAAATTGGAATATTTCAAATTTAATATCTGAACTTAGCTATAATAATTATGTATCTTAATGATCAATTATGACTTTTTATTTGATAATACAATATAATACTTTCACTAAATTTTAATTTTTTAATCTTTATTTTCACCTCAAGTCTTCTTTTCATTTGAAGTAAAATTTATTTTTTTATTTTATTATCATAAAAGAATAATTTTCTTTTATAAGCAAAGAAACTTTTAATAAAATTATTAATGAATTTCTTCAAAATAGTAAATTAAAAACTAATGAAAAGCAATTGATAAATAAAAATTTATATGATAATATAAAAGCAGTTTTTTAAATAGTAATTCAAAATTACATAATGCGGATTTTTAGTATTGGTGTAGAAAAAATTATAGTTTATTAGAAGTTAGAGAACATATTGTATATAGAAATTTAACAACAGAACAAAAGATACTTTAATTAAAGAAGGTAAACCAATTGAGATATTATCAATATTAATTATAAAAGAAATATATAAAGCAATTAGTTTAGAATATGTTCAAAACTATTATTATGATCAAAAAATCTTATATAGTAAATTAAGAAGTAAATGGTTTAGAATAAAAAAAAAGTTTGTAGAAGAATTTGTAAATCATTGCAAAATATATATTTCACGTAGAACTATGTTCAAATCTACTTTATTAGCAAAACCTATAATTGCAAAAAGGTTTCTTTTAAGATTACAAGTATTTGAATTATAATAGTTTTTTTTAATTAATTTACTTGCTTATTTATTAAATTTAATTTATAATTTTTATTAGATAGATTTAATTGATTTACATCAATATTCTAATAATGATTTTAAATACATTTTATATATAAGAGACCATTTTTTATGATATTCATAAGCAAAATTATTAACTTCTAAAGAATCTGTAATTATTGCAGAAATATTATATGAAATTTTTTATCAATTTGGTCCTTTAGTTATTTTACAAAATAATAATGATAAAGAATTTACTGCTAATATTATTAGTAATTTAATTGAATTATGGTTTGGCTTAAAGATAATAAATAGTAGATATAGATATTCACAATCACAAGGTTTAATTGAAAAAAAAATTCTATTCTAGAGAAAAAAATTAAAGCATAAATGAAATAAAATCATTAAAAAATTGGACTATATATTTGAATTATGTTATTTTTATTATAAATAATACTATATGTAAAGTTGCTTGTCTAAACTCATTTTAGATTTGGCAAAATATCTAAACTATAGTTTTACTAATTTTTTACTAAAGTTTTGATATAGTTTCACATTTTTATAAGCTTTGATATAGTTTTACCTTTTTCAGAATTTCGCAAATTTTTTAATAAGGTTTTAATATAATTTTACTAAAATTTTACCTTTTTCCATTTAGACAACTTGCAAAACCTCTAAGTTTCATCTAGCAGCCTTAATTATATGTCAAGCTACTAATAAAATACCATATGAAATAGTATTTGAAATGTATTCTCATAATAATAAAATATGGATAGAACGTTTATTTGAAGATAAAAATTATATTAATAAAGAGCAATTAATAGATAATATTAGTATTAAACAAGATGATATTTTATATAATTTTAATCAAATAAGTATAATAAATATTTTATAAATTTAAAAATTATTTCTTAAAATTTTTATTAAAATTTAAATTTATATAGAAAGAAGAAGATAACAAATCTAATAATGAATTTATTATAATAAAATATAAATATATTTTATAATTTTTTAGTAAAATATTTCTTATATTTATTATAATATTTATTTATTATAGATGCAATCAACTAAAAATTTTAAAATAAAGGCAAACAAAAACAAAAAAGTTTAAATACTTTATCTAATTCAAATTCTGATAATAATAATAAAATTAATATTACAAAAAAGGTAATAAATTAATTTAAATTTTGTATATTATTATTCAAATTATTTATTCTAATATATATTCTTAAATTTAAATATTAAAACAACCAAAGCTTAAAAAAGTATTTAAAGCTGATTTTAATACATTATTTGAATTAAAACAAGGTTAAATTAAACATATTTCTTAGGAAGAAATTAATTCATCATAGGAAGGTTTATTTAGATATAGTAAAGATTTAAAATAAAGTGTACTTAAAAAAGAAATTTAAATAGCTTTATATTATTTAGAAAAATTACACATTACAAAACAATTTAATGATATTTTATTAAATATCTGGCAATTAAAGTTTTCTAAATAGATTGATACTTTAGAACAAATAAATTAAAATGATAATTTACAAGTAAATTTAATTAATAAATTAATTTATTATAATTTTTTATAATATAGATTAATTAATTAATATTTTAGATTGATTTTTCAAAATTTACATCAAATAATAAAACTGAATCAACATCTGATAATGATACTTAATCAACATTTGATAATAAAGAAAATTTATTATCTGATAATAAAAATAATTTATTATCTGATAATAAATTTATTAATTCATTTAATAATAATGAATTTTTTTTTTTCTCATGATCAAATACGTAATAATGCAATAATTAATAATCAACAATATAGAAAAAATATAAAAAATATGATAGAGAAAAAAATTAAAAAAAAGGGATTATATAAAATTGATAATATTATTAATTTAAAAATTCCAAAAGTAGATAAAATAAAATTAGGACATAATTATTTATTATATAAGGTTTTAAAGGTTAAATTTAAAGATTTTTATGAATTGAAGTAAAATCAAATATAAATTATCAAGGAAAAAATTTAGAACTTACTAAATTAGAATTAATAATTGAATTAACAGATATATTAGATAAAATAGTAACAGTTACAGAAGCAGTTAGATTACAAAATAATATTTTAAATAGAAAGTTAATTAAATGTAAATGTCCTTATGCTAATTATAATACAATAAAATATTCTTGTAAAAAAGAAAATTTAGCTTGTAATGACAAATATCATCCTAATAAAAAATGTCAAAATTCCGAAATTTATTCTTTATAATAGTAAAAAGAAAATGAATAATAATTAAATTTTAAAAATAATTTTTATTTTAATTAAATATTAAATAAATAAAATTACTTTCTAGCAAATTTGCATAAAATATTATTTTAATTATTATTAAATTTAATAATGATTTTAATTTATAAAGTAAATAAATATTATTTAAATAATTATAGTAAATAATTAAATGTTTTAAAATAAATTTTACTATTTTTAATTTAAATTTAAATTTATTGAATACAAAATATTTATTATTTAAATTTATATAACTAAAAAAATAATATTTGATTTTATAATTTTAAAATTTAAATTATATAAAGATTAAAGTAGAAAAAAGTTAACTTAAAACATCACATTTCATCTCAATTATAAATTTGAATAATAGCCAATTTATCTCATTTTTAATTAAGATATTAATAAACTTGTATATTAATTTCCTAGTTTTAAATTTACATCAATTTTAAATTAAGGTAATAGTCAACTCCAATTTGCCTCAATTTAAAATTTAGGCAATAGCTAACTTGAGGTATTGCTTTCTTAGTTTCCAATTTGTCTCAATTTAAAGTTGAGGCAATAGCCAACTTGGAACACTATGTTCCCAGTTTTTAATTTTGCCTCAATTTAAAGTTGAGATAATAGCTAACTTAGGGTACTGCATTCTCAGTTTTCAATTTACCCCAATTTTAAATTGGGATATTAATCAACTTAGGATACTGTATTTTCAGTTTTCAATTTGTCATAATTTTAAATTAGGGTAATAGCCAACTTGGGCATCATGTTTTCAGTTTCTAATTTACCTCAATTTAAAATTAGAATAATAGCCAACTTGGAGTACCGCGTTTTCAGTTTCTAATTTTTCTCAATTTTAAATTAGGATAATAATCAATTTGGGATATCTTATATTTCTAATTTTCAATTTGTCTCGATTTTAAATTAGGGCAATAGTCAACTTAGGACATCGCATTCTCGGTTTCCAATTTACCCTAATTTAAAATTAGAGTAATAGCTAATTTGAGGCATCACATTCCCAGTTTTCAATTTTTCATTGAGGTAATAGCCAACTTAAAATATCACATTTTTAGTTTTCAATTAATTTGCCCTAATTTTAAATTGAGGTAGTAAAATCACATTGCTCAGATTTGAAATTTCAAATTAGATTACCTGAAATTGAAATTTGTCATTTGAGGCAGATCATTAACTTAAGGCACAATATTATCATGTCTGAAAGTGTCACTTCAATAACACTATTTATCTGCAAATAGTTTAGTATTTATTCTAGATCACAGCGCTTTAATACTCAGGAAGAACTTGAATATCATGTCTACAATAATCATAAGGATTTAACTAATTTAAAGTGAGTTTTCTAACTATTATTTGAGAAAAATCTTTGGCTTTTAAACTTTCTAATCTGTTTCCTTTATTGGGGATTCCTAATTTATAACTATCCGTGAGAAGGTTGCAAAAAAAACTGAATGATATTCCTAAATTAAAACGTATAAATAATATGCTAAGTACCTCTGATAATTTAGTAATTATAATAAGCTATTATTAATTTCTTGTAAAACATTTGCGTGAACATACCCAACAAAGGCCATTTAAGGTAGGTTTATAAACTGATTTTGTATGCTATTTTAAATGATCGTATTGACTTTATTTTTTCGTGTTTAGTGTCCAATTTGCAATGGTTTATATCAATTCGAATCTCTTGATAGATGAATCAATATCTAATTTTTAACTATAATGATAGCATTATAGATCTTACAGGTACAGTAAATATGACAAAATAGGAAAAGTAAGAAAAAGGTATTTTTAAGACAATACTGCTTCTATCTCATAAGAAACTATGTTATTGTTTATTAAATCATGTAATTGTACTTATTATGAATTATCTAAGATGTGTTTAATATATTTTATTATTAGTCAAAAAAATAATCAAGGCAATACTGATAAATATGAAGTTAAAAAAAAAATCAATTTGCTAAATATGAAGTCAAAGATAAAGATTATCTTTCATATAATTATGAAGAAAATAAAGATTATCTAACATGTAAAGCATTAGCTAAAGTTCTTAATCAGAAGTATTTTGAAAAACTATTAGTGAAGAATGGACTTGACGATATTGATTTCAATAAATTTTTTTCGACTTAAAAGGATTTGCTGAAAAATTTATCATTGTAAATTTTATTAAACAAAATCATGTTCTACAAGTTCTATTAACAAGCATAATACACTTTTCAATCACTTCTCTAAATTTTGGTGTTAGTTGAGCCACATTTAAACATCTAATAGTGGTGTCTTACAAAAGTTTTTTTCTCTTATGAGCTTTTTTATTTCTTCTAAGTTTATAAATATTCAATTAAGCAATTTTACTTAATGTTATTTCTAAAAGTATGGCTATCATTTTGAATCTTCTACGTACACCCTCTCAAATTACGTTGTAGCTGTTTATTAAGTTTTTATATAAAGTAAATTGATTGCTATCATATAACCCTAAATTGTAATTCTAAAGAAAGCGATCATACTATTCAGATAAGATATCACATAAATCATCAGTGGCATCTCAGATGTTCTCATTGAAGCACAACTTATTTGTATGTCCTGTATTTTTAAAAAATATAAAGTCAGATAAAGTATTGAGAGTACTTCAGGTGAATTGAAAAATACTTACCTCTTTCAAGAAGAATTAAATTATTAGAATCATAGACTTCATTTTTCCAAAATGAATCTGAAATTTCACTTTGAGACCTTTTTTGCAGACTTCGTCTATATATAGTAACTCTGTTTTATGGTTGATTAAGACTCACGTTATATTGATTTTTATTCCAACATTCTCCAATTTTTTTAAGAATTCTTGCTATTTCTTAATGAATTAATTAAATTTGAAGAAGATTAAAATCGTAAGAGAGAAAAAAAATATGTATACGTAATCTTACATCACAAAGCCCTCCTACTTTTCTTTGTATAATATTATTAGTTCAAGAACAATTTGACTTTTGGGTACGTTACAGGCAAATTTGCCAAAATAATTATAAATTGATTATTGTAAATCTAAATATATTTTTAGTGATTGATCTCATATGACTGTTATTATCTTCAGGGATACATACGCCTTCTCGCATTTATTTAAGCCATAATAATATTATTCTGCTTATTTTCTAAAATTATTTTCTTAAAAATAATCTCTGATTGAAGAAAAGTTTACTGTTTGTTTTCTCGTTGATGTCTCTTATTTTCACTATTTTGGCATTTACCTCGCAATCTCAACATCACACCTAAACTTTAACTCAAAATTCTTAGCCTTAAGCTCAGTTATCTTAGCTACAAGTCTGGTATTTTTTCTTTATGCAAGTCAATACCCTCAGATTGCATACTCAATAATTAATTTTTATCACTGTGTACTATTATTCAAATCAAAAAAAAATCATGCACATTTCATTGCAAACTACAACCAGATAACTTTTACCAAAGAAAAAATTTTTTATTAATATAATTAAGGTTGTCAAGCAAAACCCTGAGGTTTTGACAGGTATCAAAATCAAAATCCATCGAAACGTTTTGTCAAATTTTTTTATTAAAGGTAAAATTGTGAAAGTTTCAACAGGTGACAAAAGTTTTGATGGAGGCAAATATTTTAACAATAGCTGTCGGTATTAACGAATTAACCTATTGTGAGTGATTAGTTTATCAAAAGAAGTTTTAGCAATTTCTTTGACAGAATTCATCAATAGGAGGATGAAGAATCGATTTTAGTGTTACTATAAAATATATAACAAAATTTTTAATTCTCAATATAAAGATTTTAGACTTTATCAAAATTTGTTTAACAAATAACAAAGTCATAACTATATGTATAAAAATTTTTCGTAAGTATACCTACGAAACATAGCTTCTATTAAAAATATTTCTCTTAATGAATAACTATTTCATTTAATCCATGATTCATGTTAATAAAATTACTCACTTTCTTATTTGTAATACATATGTGAGAATTTTTAATCTTTAAGGAATATTTTGTATTAAAAATATTGTTTATAAGGAATATTTTTAATTTTATTTATTTTTTTTTTAAAAAAAAAATAAAAATGATACCCATATTTTTATATTGCAGCTAACCTTCTATATTAATTAAGTATTAAAAAAAATCTTATTATTTGGAAATTTTTTAACTTAACACTATAATTTTTGATAGATTAAAATATGATAAGGTCTTAATTTTATTCTCAGAGCAATTATCTAATATAATAATCTATGCATTAGTCTATGTGAGATAGTATATATTTACATCCTTTTTAAGAATTCGTAAAGTTATTATCAAAACTGTCAAAATTGTTAAAACTTTTGAGACCTATCAAAGCTCATTGAAACTGTCGAAACCTGTTGAAGTCCATCAAAATTGTCAAAAACTGTCAAAACTCATCAAAACTGTCAAAATAATTTCTGAAAAGTTTTAACTTTTGCTAAAATAAGTTTAGGGTTTTGCTCTGCAACTATAAATATAATTCAAATATTGTATATAATTCAGGATGTAGTCAATTTCTATGTTGATGTTTGTGGACTATTATATATAAATTATTTTTTTCTCTATTTTAATTTTTTTACTCTCTGAAGATTTGTCTGCACATGCTCTATCCTTTATTATATCAACAATTACATTCAAAACCTTATCAATTGAAAGATATAATTAAAAGTGAAAAATTGATACATATCATTTCTAATTGCTGATGAGTTTAAAATAAAGATTTGACAATGTTAATTATTTTTAAGTAAACAAATTATTAGAAATAAATCAAAATAAATATTCTTGTTTATCAATCTTCTCTTCTTCATACTATTACGCAATATTTAATACTTTTCAGATCTTTTATCTAAGGCTTTTTATTAAACTCAATGATATAGAGAATTTCACATATTTGACTAATCTCGCCTGGACTGTAGTCAAATCATTATCTACACAAGTTGAAATTTTTTTCGTGAATGATAACCTTGATCTAGTTATATTATTGCTCTAGTACAACTATGTATATATTTTAAATGTTTCTTATTTTTTCTAATAAAACAGAAGAGGTATCTCCTGTAAAAGAGGATGATGAAGTAGAGATAATAGAAATATCATAATTATCAGAGAAATGAAATTCTTCTTTCTGTAAAGGATTTTCTCTTAGGAAAATAGATGAAGCAATGATAATTACTTTAGAGTATTTACCTATCCTATGTGACAAAATGTTTGTCATTTTTAAACTGTACTCACAAAGTTATGATATATTTTTTGTTGTTATAAGATGGTCTTCCAATGGGATTGAAATGACCGACCATTTTTTATAGACTATCTGTTAACTAATATTTGTATCTTAACATGTATTAGTTATTTCGTAACTGTCATTACAGTAATAGTTTCAAGTTAAATAGAACTGACTGCATAGTAGACACTCTTTAATGTTCGAAGTATTATGAATCTAAAAGGAATTATAAAGAGATATATTAGATGGAACACAATCTATTTCTATGTGTTCATTTTCTTTTGCTAGAGAATTGTCATCATGATCTACAACTGAAAGTCTGTTAACAAACAGGTCATTTCTATGTACATCAACTGTTATGACTAATAGGAGAGATTTTCTTGTAAAGGAACTACTTATGATAGGTGGTATTTATGATGTAAACATAATGAATCATTGTGATTAGCTATATAAAAGGAGACAGGTTTTATATGATAACTATATGATCAAATACTAAGAGAATTTTATTCACACTTTTTTATAATCACAAGATTCTTGAGACTCTTGGGAATATCTCTTCTATCACTAAAACTAGGATACACAGCCTATTTACTTAACTAATCTTCAACCTCTGTAAGAGTAAACTTATATCTGATTTTCTTATAACCATCTCTCATTTTTTTGACAGTTTGATAATAAGCTTTAAGCTAATAATATAACTTATAAAATATAAGATTTTGATATAAAAGATGTTTCTTTCTGGATCTTCTAAATAATTTAAGACTTACTTCTTTTTTTCATATATCATTTATATTATAACAATATAGAGATTCTGTATTGATAAATTCTTTAGAATAAATAGTATTAATTCTAACATAATTGATCAAGTAAATTAGTTATATGTATTATATATGATTAGAAGAATTTTAATTGAAAAAATAAGGTTAAATATTATTTTAAACCTTGCCTAGTCTCCTAAATTTCTTCTTTTCAAATTTCTTTATAGGATGATGTGATAATAATTCATCTACTTTCATTTATTCATTTAATAAAGGTATTATATCTTTCTACCTTCCTGTACAATTAGCTTTACAGATTCAGAATCCATCTTTATCTGATTTTTTAGTAATATCTTCTTATTTAGATTAATGACATTTTATAGTTACCTGATCATCCAATAACTTCTTCTATATACATTCATCAGAATCTAGATTGGATCTCTTCTTATATTTATTACTAATTATTAAAGGAACCATTTTTTGTATTAAATTAATTACAGCTTCTTTATCTACACATTCGTCTAGATTTTCTAATTTAGTCTCTAAGGACTTTACATCTTTTTCCAATCTTTTTATTCTTCTTTCTAAAGCATTATATTAGGAATGATAATATTCTAATTATTTCTTTAGTGTCCTATTTTCACCAGAAAGTGCACTATGCACTTTTGCATTTTGCTAATTTAATCTAAATATCTGAGCTAATTTCTTTGTATATCTGATAACTTCCTGCTCACTGAATATATTATCAGATGAATGCTTTTGATCAGTTGTTATTTTTGCATTATTTTATATATTTTATATCTTACTTTAAATAAAAAAATAAAATTTAATAAACTATATCTTGGATTTATAAAGTAAATTCCTCTAACTCATTATATTATTAGTTTTTATTAAAGATTTTGAATGATTCTGCCTAATCATAAGGTTCTTCTCTTTGATGAAAATTTATTATAGTATATTTCTACAATTGTGCAATATTATTATTAGGATTACGTCTTAATACTTTACTAATAATAATGTTAGCTTTTAACACATTTCTAAGCCTATGCATCACTACTGTAAATATTACTTCTAGATTATGCAAAGAGCTAGAAAGTAGCAGTTTATCACTTTCATAAATATATTAAACCATAATGCATCAAATTTTCTAAAGTCTCTTAACTGTTTATAAGAAATTGCTTTCTGAATCTATGTAAGCAATTTTATAGTTTGCTCTTTATTCTTTTCTAGTGATCTAAATATCTGAGAGATATTTTGTTGACTCTGATTTTTTGTGTATTTAGTTATACTTCTATTAGATATGTGCAAGTTTTTAATTTCAGTAAGGCGAATATAAAGTATAATCATCATATCAGCTAAGGCTTATAAGTTGAGTATATTAGATATGTTATATTCATCTAATCTTTTCTTACCTGATTTTAATGCAAAATGATCAGGGTAATCAATTTCTTCATTTTCGTGAACCAAACTTTTCTCCTTTTAAATTTTATTAGCTGAATAGATTATGTCTGAAATTTTTATAGCAGAGATTATTTTTTTTGAGATTTTGAAGGTTTACAACTCTTTTTGAAGTTTAGAGAGATATAATGAATTAGCATCAGTATTAAAGATAAATTCAGCTAAGACATTAACTATAACTTTTATGTCTTTTTTACTAATATTATTTGAGATAATACGTTAAATTAAATCTTTAATAGTTTTTTTTTGCAAAATTTTAACATATACACTACCTGAAAATAAGTTTGTGCAATTTTGAAAAAATAGTAAATAAATTTGTGCAGTTTTGAAAAAATAGTTTATTATCATTTTTTTTTTAACAAAATATTAATATCTAGTTGGCCAACCATTATTGGCAATACATGCTTCTATTCTTTGAGGCATACTATCAATTAATTTTAGGTAAGTTTCTTGCAGAATTTTTTTCCATTCTTCTTTTAGTTGCACTTCTAAATCTGCAAGTTTTTTAGGCAGATCTGAACAGTTACGCAACAAACGTTTAAGATGATCTCAAAGATGCTCAATGGGATTCAAATCCAGAGATTGAGCAGGCCAGTTAATTAACATTTTAATTTTTTTTAGCAACCCATGCTTTAACATCATTAACTATGTGAATGGATGCATTATCGTGCTGAAATTTGTAAGATCGGTTACAAAACTTTGAATCAATAAATGGCAACAGGTTATCATCTAAGATTTTTATATAATCATGCTAATTGATTATTCCTTCTATTTTCACTAAAGGACCCAATCCTTTGCCTGAAAACTATTCTCAAACCATGACTCTGCTACCACCATGTTTAATAGATGGATTCAGGTTTTCAATATTAAAATGAGTGTCTGATTCACGCCAAACTCGAGAAGGACCATCATTACGAAAAAGAGTAAACTTTGATTCATCGCTCTATATGACATTTTTCCATTGTTATACTGTCCAATTTTGTCTTTCTAAGTATCATTCTAGCCGTTTTTGGCGTTGATTTTTATTTAAAAATGGTTTTTTTGCAGCTCAATAAGAATTGTATCCAATTTGATACAAATTCTTCTGAATTGTTTTGGTACAAATATCTTGACCAGTTGTTGCTGAAAATTTCTTTTGTATTACATCAGCTGAAGCTTTATTATTTTTTTTAACAATTTTTTCTAAAATTTTACGATCTTTATCATCAAGTAACGGAAGCCAACCACTTCTTTTTTTGCTTAACATGTCATCTGAATCTCCATATCGTTGAATTATTGTTCTAACTGTGGACTCTGGTCGATTCATAATTCTAACAATATCAGATTTTCTGTAGCTACTTTTATATAGTCTGATTATTTGTGCTCGTTCAATAACGGTAAGTTCAGGATTTTTATCCATTTTGTTAGAAATAAGTTGTTAGATTAATTATCATTATGTTATATTTATTTATGTTTATAATTATTTTTATTTTATATGTATTACAATAACAAACAGTTATATAAACAAGAATCAGGGCTTTCAATTGGTACCAAAATCAATTGATTTTATTATATATAATTTTGAATAAAATTCAAAAAACTGACCGTGTAAACTTATTTCCAGATAGTGTATACCTTCTCATAGAAGAAAAAGTAGGTCGATTGGTGATTTAACTGATGAAATTGTCAAACATGAATCTAATGATGAATATCAAGAAGATTTTGATTCTACTTTTTTACCTTAGAGACGTGTAAGAAAATACACAAATCATCTAAAATCTGGCATAAATCATTCTGATGATCCTGAAACAGAAGCTGATCAACATTCAGAATCTTTAGAATTTATCACTGAAGAAGATTATATTACAGGTGAATCTGAAGATAATGATATTTCTGTAGAGGATGATTTTAAAACTTTTGAAGATTATGTATCACTGAATTACGAGCTATTTCAAAATCCATTAAATATAGAATCAATTGATAACTAATTTTTCTGGATTTTACTTTAGATCATATCATTTCAGATAAGATTCAACATTACAGAGTCTGCAACTGAGACGTTAATAAAATTTATGAAATTGGTTCTGACAGAAATCAGAGGTGACGAATTTAGAAATTTTCCAAATTCAATATACTTAACGAAAAAAGCACTTGGATTAAATGACTGATTTTACCATTTTGTTTCTTGTTCCAAATGTCATAAGCTGTATTAAAAGCAGAAAGTGGTGAATTTTCAACAGAATAATATGTTAACTATAATGAAATATCAGCATATAGAATTTCTCAATTCATTAATTCGCAAAACACAATTTTGCAATACTCTGTTATTTCAAAAAATCGTATTAATAAATCAAACTTTAATTTGACCTAATTTAATCTTTCCGTTTTCTGAAATTCGATAACAACTTACTTCTATGTATTGTTGGCCTAATTTTGAAACTAGCCTGAGATAATGGACAAATCATCAGTGTTTTAACAACATTATGACTGATATATATGATAGTGAAATATGGTAAACGTTAAAAGAATCTTTACAAGATTTAGCAAATTTTTTTTAAAATGAAGTGGCTGATTCTCATCTTGGATTAATGCTAAATCTCAACTAGTTCTAACCATATGGTAGTACTGTTTATAGTATTAGAATAATATATGCCACTATATGCAATTTGCCTCGTGATATCTGATTTAAACGTGAAAATTTACTGACTTTTGGTCTTTTACCCAGACCAAGCGAAGTCAGTTTACATAAAATAAATCACTATTTAGCATCAATTGTAGATGAATTGAAATCACTTTGGGATGGATTTACAATAGATAAGACATATGAACATTCTAAAGGAAAGAACATTCATGTAGCTTTAATTCTTATTTCATGTGATGTACTGGCCGCTAGAAAAATATGTGGACATATTTTGACCTTAGTATCATGTCATAGATATGAAAAGAAGGCAAATTATGAAAATCATCAGTATAATTTTGTCAGAATGGATAATATCAATGATTGGTTCATTATGCGAGATCCAATTGAGCATCATCGAAATGCGTTAGAATGGAAACGCTGTAATTTGAACATTTCACAAAAATGATTTGTAAAGCAAAGTGGCGTAAAATGGTCTGAATTATTACGTTTACCATATTTTGACCTTATAAAATATATCACAATCGATCTAATGCATTGCTTATTTTTAGGCATTGCACAATAGATAGTAAAATAAATCTGGATCGATAAAGGGATTTTGAC